ACCAGCCCCAGAGGCACCATTCACCTGCAGAACTTGTAGCCAGGGCTGCTGCAACAAACAGCTATGCAAGCCTTGTGAGGCAGAGATGCAAGAGGGGATCAGAGGAGGGAGGGAAGGAAAGAGGGACAGAGGCCAGTGTTGCCTGTGGCACCCCTGACCATCATCCAAGGCACCACAGGGTACCACGGCACACTGACTGAAAACCACTGGTGTAAATCATTTGGCTTTATTTATCTACGCAGTCATGCCAATGGGGTAAATTACAGTGGCTTACAGCAAGGATGACAGGATGATGTAGCAAGGAGCTCAAGTGGTGGAACAAAAGTCCCCCCACCCACCCAAAGCACCCTTTATACTGATTTTTCCAGAAGGACGAAAGCCACCTTTAATTCATACCTTCTAAGCTTAATCCTGACAATAGGTCTGGAAGGATAGCAGAGTTGATAGTATCCAAACGTACTGTGAGGTCCAGGGAAAAACCACATGGTTGTGTTCTACTCCCATCCATTCCCCAGGGTAAGACATCTCAGCGGTCCATAAGCCCACCTGCACCCTGGTAGATTTCACAGTAGCCAAGTTGGGCAAGGATCCAGGGAGCACATGGTAGCTCTTAGCCCTCCAAGAAGGTTGTCCACATGCTCAGGTTGCACAAGCTGAAAAGTAGCCCTTGTAGTGTGCTCAGATGGTGTGCCAATCCTATCCATTTCAGCCCCTGTACCAATTATAGCATCCAAGTTGATATGGGTGAGTGGCCTTATCTGTAAAATGTATGGGAAACTCATCGCAGCAGGCCTCCAGGGGTTCTAGGTCTCCTCACCTCCCTATATTAATACAAGGGCCTTCATGACCTGAACTAGCTTTGCTCTGTGACATTGAACAGCTGCATTGGTGGTGGAGAAGTAATATTTTGTCACCACCATCTCACCACTGTTTGAATCAAACTCTAGTGTTTCATACTTTCGCTTGGTAGAACAGGTTAACTTTTGTCATAGGCACCTAAACTTGGAATATAGCAAGTTACTACAATTGCCATCCATTTAAATTTGTTGATTTATCATTCATTTTAATTAATTACCTGATTAGGTATCTGGTTTAAATTTAAGTCATTTTACATATTACAACATTTTCAATTTAAGGTCTTGTTCGATGACACTGAAAGAATCAAAAGTACTGTTCATTATTAGAAAGGCAATTTAAATATTTCCTTCCCTAATAAGTAATTAAAATAGCTTCAAATTAGGCATGTGTTCCCCTAGCTCATAGTGCGGCTGAATAAAAACTGTACTGTACTAAAGTTTTAAGTTGATTGAACTGTTTAAAATGAGCGACTTTCATTGTTGTTTCTTCATTTTCCCATGTACTTGGTCTGTTTCTTTGCTCTTTCATTCTCTTGTTGGTTTCTTTTTAATTCTGCCTGCTTCACAGACAAGAAGTCTTGATATGCACAGTCTGTTATGCACATACTTAATTTATTCATTTTATTACATTTATGGACCACGTTTCTTCCATCATGGAACCCAAGATTACGTACATGTTGTTCCCGGGTAATTATCTGGCTGCACTGAGACTTTCTACAAGTACTCATTACATAAACAGGTTTTATGGGAAGTCTTCCTACTGTAGGGCCAAACTTTCTACCCCAGGCAACCCACAGTAGTTGTGCTTGCTTTTGCTGTCTAGTTTTCCTCCCCACTCCCCCTTAAGCTTGGTGCTATCTCTGTTGCTTGAGAAGAAGGAAGGAAGGAAGGAAGGAAGGAAGGAAGGAAGGAAGGAAGGAAGGGGTGATTGATGTTCCAGGGTACAAAGACCAGCCAGGCAGCAAACTCTCATAGAATCAGTGCAGAAAAAGCCAACCACCCATTCCTCTCCACGCCAACCATGGGCTACTCTTTCAGCAGATGGTTCAAGGCACTACATCTGGCAAGTTTATCCATCTGCTGACTAGGATCTACTACTTGCTAAGTAGTTTATTTAAGTTTACGTTACTCTGACACTTTTCTGCAGGGTTTTGTGTGAACTGATTTTGTGTGTATGTGGTTTGTTGGTTTGTTGTTTTTTTAAAAAAAAGATGGCATGAATTTTTATCTTCTGACATTCTCAGAGAGAAAATACGGGACGATCTATGAGAACCCATTTTTATTCACTGGGCATTTTTAACTTCTAAATTTTTGTTGATTTTGAAAATCTGTTATTCTATTATTGTTTACTTGTATTGTGCTACAAATGGGTTGCTCGCTGCCCTGAAATCCAGATAGGATGAAGTGGAGTGTAAACATGTAAAACAAAGAACTAATTCATCCTGTAATAATTCAACATTCTGAATATTCCTGATGATTGATCTCTTTAGTGGGAAGTGGTATTTTTCACCACATGATCTATCAAATATCTTTTGGATAATAATGTCACCATGAATAAATAGATCATATACATATTTTGTGATCACCTATCATTTTTTTCAGCAGAGGGAAATGTAGCTCACTTAGGAGCGGTATATACAGTATGTGCATTACGTATGGGGATGTGTTAATCTTTTCAGCTGCAATGGAAATATTACTTTTAATGTCAGACTGCCTCTCGCTATGCAGTGAAATACCACAGTCATCACTGATTCATAGGGATGCTTTCCTTTTAATTATACATCCAATATGAATGAGATTTAAAGTTGCATTATGTTATACAAGAAGTAATCTTAGAACATTCTGGATGGAGTCATTTCCTGTCCAAATTCCTCAGCAACCGAAGAAATGAGAAATTCTATATTGCCACCACTACTACCCAGGCAGAAGCAAGATCATTATTCCAGGAATTTGCCCTTTTCTGCCATTTGAAGCTTTTCACTTAATTAATTAAAACTTTAAACCGAGAAATTTGGCAGGGCTTTGCGTGTTTTCCTTTTGTGCAAAACAACACTGCATGCCCCTGAAATTCAGGAATAACCTGTATTTTTCTAAAATGCCCATGCTGGGAACTAGCTGTGCTTTCGTTCTGGTTACCATAAAACAAGTAATCCTTACAAAACCCAAGATCCTGAGCCAGAATTAATCCTCGTCATTTGAGCAACTTCAGGTGCTTTTGCCAGACATGAATTTGCCCCATTTACTCTACGGCAGTCGTTAAATTTTAGTGCTCGCATCAGGCTGCAATAAATCGAGAAAGCACTTTGGGCTTGACGCAACCTCTTTTGAAGGGAGATATTATTGACACCTCTCTCACACACACTCTCTCTCTCTCTCTCTGGGCCTTAAAAGCGACCCTGGGTTTGTGGAACGTGGCGTGCTCTCCAACTGGTGTCGAGCAAAGAGGTCATGAGCAACAAAACAATTAGGATGAAATCATGAGCTACATTTGTAAACGAGGGAGCAGGCTTCTTGGCAGGGTGTCAGCCGCTAGAGAGCTGGAGTCCGGAGTGCACATCCCACTCTCCTCTGTTGGAGTCACTCATCTGTGTTTATATGAGTAACGGAGCAGCTGAGGGGGAGGGGATTTGTAAGCGCCAAGCAAATACTCCGAGCGCTCATTCTGTGTAAGACTGACATGCACACCGAGTCGAGACTACTTCCAGGGATGTAGTGAGCGCGCAGTCACATGCTGCAGCATTCATGAGTAGAGAGATAAATCAAGCAGATGTTTGTCGACTGGAATGGGTAATAATTTCTTTTACTCTCTCTTGATCCCCTCCTCCCTTTTTCCTTTCCTCCTCCCCCCCCCCTTTTCGCATGCTAGCCTCAGATGCCAAACCTTGGAGTTGCTTTCTAAAACACTTAGCGGCAGGCAGTGCTGAAGCATGAAACATTTGTGGGGGCGAGGGAAGAAGGTTTGGGGTGGGACCTTTGCTTTTAAGCTGAGGGGTGATGTGTTTGTTTTGTTTTCGTTCTCCACTTGAACCACTGCCAGCAGGAAACTGGGTTTTTCTTCTTCTTCTCTAGAGCATCAGTATCAAATTATAGCAGCCTTGCATCTGAGAGCTAATTAAAATGTAAAATGTCCTGAAACCACTTGTGTGACAAATGTAAGATTAGAAACAATTAGAAGCCACTCGAGAGGCTTGTGGTGTTTCGATTTCTGACATTATTATAATCGTCCCTGGAAGTAATGAAAACAATGGTTACTTTAAAGGGGGGGGGGGTTACAGCAAGTTATCTCCACTATAATCACAAGTTAATGATTGTTTATCGTTTTTAATGTTGTTGAAGTCCGGTGACTGAGCACACAAGGGTCACTTTTCTTACAGAACAAAACAACTACTTCATTCTTTTCCTCATAGTTTTGTCATAATCAGCATTATATTGTGTGTGTGTGCGTGCCCGTGTTTAAAAGACATCTAAATGTGTGTTTTCCTTGTTTGACCTATATGTAGTATATACTGGTTATCAAAGAGGAACTCAGAGTTTTTCTGTATTGTGGAATCTCTCAGCTCTGTTAAAAAAGACTTCAAGTGTAGCATTAAAGAGACTGATTTGATAAAGTGAGGATTGTATTTCTGTTTGTCTCATGCCTTTAGCGGTTGAACTGTACTGTACAGAAGTACCAATCAATTATTTTGTTCTATGTGCTATATATGGAAGTGGTTGCTTTTTTCAACTTAGAAAATCTTTGACGCACATAAACATTGCCTAATCAAATACCTTCTACTATAAGGAAATTCCCAGAAGAAGGAATCAAGTTAATGCTTACATTTTACATAATAAAATGGATGTATGAAAGATGTTCACCCATCTGATCTTTTGTTTTGCAAGAGAGCAATTTGTGCTTTCTCAATATTCATTTGGATCCTTGTCATATGTTAATAGCAACAGATTAGCTGGGGTGGCAGGAACTATAATGTAGAAATATGTGACCTAGAAACAGTTCTACTACTGGCAATAACATCCTTGTTTATTATAGGGAGACGTAGGCTGCTTCAAGGTGCATGCTTGTTTTTGAAGACTGCTCAACTGGTGTTCAGCTGTGTTACCCCTTTGTAAGAAATTGTGCTGAAATTGTTGCCTGTTTGTTTTCAGCGCCAAATCTTAAAGGCAGACCACGCAAAAAGAAGTCATGCCCACAGAGAAGAGATTCACTCAGTGGCTTTAAAGATTCCAATAATAATTGTGAAGGCAAGGCTGTTGCCAAGGTAAGACATTTAGTAATTTTCATCCAACTTCAATTTTGCCTTTCTTTTCCAGTATAGCATTTCAAAGTAGGGGTTGTCCCCGCCTCCCTGCCTCTCTTTTAAATGAAAATCAATATGGATTGCAGTTGTTTGAGTGGGTAGGCTTCCTCCCTCCCCCCCCCCTTTTACATTTTTTTGTCTGCATTATCAGGAGCACTTTGGGAAAAGAGTCTTTGCTTAAAACTTCTGTTGAGATTTACAATAATTGCATACATACGAACATATTATTGGTATGCCGCCTTTCCATAGTTAAAACCATGCTCAAGGCAGCTTACAACATGAAAAAAATACATAGTTGCAAATGTAGCAAAAGTAGTCAAAAACAATAAATAAAACCTCAGAAGGTACACAACCAAATTAAACCATTTCCACATAAATCATAATAAGATCTAAAATAAACATACAAAAAAATAGTATCGAAAACAGCAACAACACCCCACCCCCTGGCAACAACAACAGCCCATAAAAAATACCCCAACGCAGCCTCAGCTTTTGTAGCTGGAGTCAGTCAGGGCCCTGCCCACCCAGGCCAGTAGGAAAAAGGCCTGCAAGGCGAGAGCAGAAGCCTCCATTTCTGTAGCTGGAGTCAGTGCAGCCTATCTATCTTGAACACCATAGTTTCCTTCAGTATTATTTATCTGAAACATTTGTAAGCTGCTTTCACAAGTGACCCCAAAGTGATTTCCATGTAACAAAAGGATATAAAAAACCCCCACTTGATTTATTAATTACTATCTAGCCTTTCCTCCAAAGAGCTGAAGGGCAGTGTACATGGTTCTCCATTTTATCACCAGCCCTGTGAAGCCGGGGTGGAAGGTCACCCTAAGTGAGTGGTTTTCTCTCATGGCTGAGTGGGAATTGAACTCGGGTCTCCCCCGTCCTAGTCCAACATTCAAACATCTATACTACATTGAAAATTAAATTGCTCAAAGCCCTTCTTAGTTGCCTCTCAAATATAATTTGAAAATAACCATATATGAAACGGGAACTTCCATTGAGTAACAGATTACAGCAAACACACACAAAAATGTTACCTAGAATAATGTTGCTGTTTGTCTTTAGAAAAGTTGAAATGGAAATTTAGAGTGTAAGTTAATATTCTGGACAAGGTTTTTTAAAGACATCTCCTTATGCTTGAACTATCTATGGGTCTCGCATTACCATGGGTTTGTTTGCATGCACATGTTAATCACCTGATGAATCATCAAGTGGTGACTTGTATGCATGAATGAGCCATCAGAAACCCTCCAGATATCACCTCCCATCACTTCAGTTACAATGGCACAACGTACAGTATAATGACCATGCACACTGCTGGAAATGGGATAACTATTGGGATAACTCACTTGGCTATGTTTGTAATACGAAGCACCAGCCATTATTTTGGCGCTTCTTGTAGAAGAGTTTCCACATCAGCATTTAATGCCTATCAGAAGGCAGAATTAAGCAGTTTCTGCATGAATTTTCTAATGTGAGCTATCAGTTTGCATGTCAAAGTCCCAGCCGTCAGAAGGAGAGAAATCAACTGATGTACTTGCATGGTGGACCTAGTCTGGAGTGTATTTCCATCAAACAATTATTTTGTGCCTTCTCCATCCATATCACGGAGAGTTGTGCTGCCCTCTTTTGCATCCTCTGTTGAAGTAAATGGATACTACATGGCTGGTTGGCTGGCTGAATATATAGCAATTTGAAAACAACATTATCGTGCTCAAATATTTACATTTCTGGAGTGTTGAAAGCTCTTGTTGCTGTGGCTTTCAGTGGGCTATTTACAGTGATGTACTAGCTACCTTGGGCCGTGGGTGGCGCTGTGGTCTAAACCACAGAGCCTAGGGCTTGCTGATCAGAAGGTCGGCGGTTTGAATCCCCGCAACGGGGTGAGCTCCCGTTGCTTGGTCCCTTCTCCTGCCAACGTAGCAATTCGAAAGCATGTCAAAGTGCAAGTAGATAAATAGGTACAGATGTGGCAGGAAGGTAAATGCCATTTCCGTGTGCTGCTCTGGTTCACCAGAAGTGGCTTAGTCATGCTGGCCACATGACTCGGAAGCTGTACACCGGCTCCCTCAGCCAATAAAGCGAGGTGAGCGCCACAACCCCAGTTGTTCACGACTGGACATAACGTTCAGGGGTCCCTTTACCTTTACCTTACTAGCTACCATGTCAATCTGCATTTCAAGTGTGTTTGTACAAATTTAAAGCAGTTTAAACACCAATGGCTACTTCAATCACTTCTTATTTGTCCTGTCCAAATTGTCTGATGAAGCCAGTTTTGTTTTCATATAGGCCTCCTGAGCTTGTAAAAGATTTGTGGCATACAAAATTACAGCAGATACTCATTTTTCAATCCTTTCTTCTCTGTCCTGGGTTGGTGGTCAGGTTGAGAAGTGTTTAGCATTGGAGCCCTGTCAGGGGGAAAAAAGGTTAGCACCTCTGGATTATGCAGTTTGGACTAGCCAAATGGCAGTCTGATTGGAAGGATCAGAAAGCATTGCCAAGAAAAGTTCCATGTCCTAGAAAATACTTAATTGACCATAGAAAACTTTCCAAATGTGGTGAATTATTTGGGAAATACAGGTGACTTTTGCGGAACCAACCTCATGTCTGAAATCTTTTATGGTGCTTAGTTGGGTTTTGTATATGTTTTTTGCATTGGCCTACTCCACACGTCACAGTAAGCCAAACTATAAATCTTGGCTATGGCTTGTGGTTAGTGAGCAGAGAGCTTAACTAAGAGCCCAGATTCAAACAGCATGCTAACTAAACTTTCCCTTAGCTCAGTGCTGGGTTGGGAGTAAAAAGGTTTGGGGAGAGGCAAAAGCATTTGCAAGCTTCTCTCCAGGAGCCCACATATTCACACAGTTCCATTAAGTCATAGTTTGGCCTACCATACTGTGATGTGCAAACCAAGGAATTGAATGTCTTGAGTTGAGCCCATTAATTTAAGACTTTAAGAGGTCAAATGTCTTGAGTTGTATTTTGTGTCACTTTTCTTGCGATTGATTTATTAGCATTGCCTCCTTGATATTTCACTGATATTGAGACAATGGGATGGCACAAACAAAGCTCTAAAGGTAAAATCATGAGGGTTTTGTCATTCATTTTTGCATTGCTCAGTCTTTGGTGTCTTGTGGTGTGGCTAGTACTTCAGTTGTTTGTAATATGATGAACTGGTATCGCATTATACAGAGGTGTTGGTTAAAAAGCTGATTTTTGATGTTTGACAGCTTTGCGACCTCCATAAAATGTTATGGGACTTTCTCAGGTTTCCATTGTTGTGGAGTGCATAAAAGCTCAAAGATCCTGCTATGCAGATGCCCTACTTTTGTTGAATTTTGCAAACTCTTTATCAGCCGTATTCCGTTTGCCCTTCATGAACTATGGGCATAAACAATTCAACACCCTGTAAGTGGAGTATCTTCTGCACGTGACGCAGTGTGCCAGAGGACCATTAAAAACAACCACAAAACTAATATTGTTCTTATGGTATGTGAACTGCGCCCCACCCTCTGTTAACATGAAGAGATACCTGCTTTCACATAGCTCTCTGCATCTTTTACTGGAAGACCTTTCTCAATGTGCCACCTACCACTGAGCGTGAAATTGGTTACGTCTTGGAGCTGGTTCTTATTGGTGGAAGTCTCATGACTGTAGAACCTCCCTTTCCTCTATGAAGACTGCCTAGCTAACATTTTGTTGTTCTTTCAGGAGGCTTATGGGAACATGTTAGAAACATTGTAATTGACTGGTTTAATTGTGGTTTTCTTGCAGATTTGTATTTGTTTTATTCTTATTTAATTGTTGTTTTAAATGCAGTATGTTGTAACCTTCTTTGAGTTCACCTGGTAACAAAGAGTTAGGACAGAAACCACATGAATGAATGAATTGCATCATTCATTAGCCTCCTTAAGATTTTTGAACTTGGGCTGATGGCGTCCTTGAATGAATCATGAAGCTATATTCAGTTCTGGACCAGTAATGCTATCATTCTCGGACACATGGCTATCTATGCATGGCTTATGCATAACACTGAGAGGGGTGGTGCTGTAATTCCACAGGGAGGGAGCAGTTTGAGCCGCACTCTTCCCTGTGGAGAGCCTGTGGTGTTAACTGGGCTCTCCATAGCAGTGTACAGAGCCCCTCCCAATGCCAACATGAATATCCCCTGTGCCTTTCCTCCCCCTGCTGCAAAAGCTGCTCCTGTCCACAGCATTGGCTTACATTACTGAATAGACCCCCAGTTGAGCATATTACTGGAGCCCAGCAGATGAAATGGGAAGCAAATGACGGCAAAGACTTAAAAAGCCATCGCATATGGTCCTTGCTGAATTTTGGCTACACATCCTGCATATTCCCTGCTCAGATTCTAAATGTCATATTTAAAGCTGTCATGGAGCAAAACACACACGCACGCACACACACACACACCATGAAGCTATTAGGACTCCAGTTTCATTCAGCTTGTTTACCTTTATCTGTGAGTGAATAATTGTGTGAACTTTATTACCTAGCATACAAAGGCATTTGGTTTGGTTTCAATAGGTCTGAATAAATTTAAGCTGGCGCAGCCTATTAAGTACTATAACTGAATTACAGAGCTGTATTTTATTCTCCTGCAGCTCAAGTGTGGTGCTTGGGGATCGCAGGCTCTCGTAAGACAAATTTGTTGCACTTACCGATGAGCTTTCCTCTTCCAATGATGTCCTTGGGTTATGCCTTCAGGAATACAATATGGAATAGATTGAGTTAGGGAGAAATCATTTGTGGAAGAGTGAAAGTTCCTGTTTTTATCTCCAAGGGAGAAACTAGATAACTTGCTCGCCACAAAGGGCCATGAGGGAAATGGGAGTGTGGAGGCTGTAGGTAATTTACATATTTAATTGTATGGAATTTATTTTACGTATTTTTATCAGGTGATTTGTCAGGTTCCAATTTATCAGGTGGCTCTCAACATTTAAGGA